CAAGCAGGGCCAGAGCCACTTACAATCGACGCCGCAATTCTCCGCAGAATTACTAGTTTCTGTCTAAGTTTGGACTAGACGTATAAATTGGAATTAGGGTTTGAAAGCAATTAGAAGCAGATGAAGTACCAATAGTCAAACATTAGGCATGTTTTTAAGATATCCGTATATGGCTATCATGAAATTGAACAAGTGGAGAAAATTTTGAAGCAAGTAATGGATAACTTCAGGCCCTGAGTATGACCTACTGCCTATGCTGGGAGTGGGTGCCGAATTCGACCAGAATGGGATCGTTGCTTTGCTTGCCAAATAAATGTTGAGGTTTGTCCCCTTTTTTCTTCTTGCTTATTAGCCATTTAAATTGATTTGCATAAAAGCGCTGTTTCCCGTTTAATCACCTCGGTCACACCAACTTCAAAGAACGATTTGTACCAATAATGAAAAGGCTCTTGAGTGATCGACGATACGCAATATTGAAAGTTGTTACAGCAGGGCATCATCGCACTTTCCTTTTTAACTTTGAAAATAGGAAGTGTGTGGACAAATATATTGCACAATTTTTTTACTAACATCACTTATTCGCTTCTTGTATGCTAAAAGTTATGAGTTTTGAGCGATCTTCACTGCACAGGATCTAATAGATAGATATTTCTTGAAATATGGTTTGAGAATGACTTGTAGAAGGTTTCAAGATTTACGCTTAGTGCGGGCTTGTGTAAGTAATATTTGAAATTGTCAAATCAGCGCAACAATGGTTTTCTTTTAGACTACTCCAGAGACAGTGCTTAAGCAAAGTTAAGCACTACTCTATAGTGGTCAAGTTGGACGGAACTTCATCGCCCACATGACTCGGCAAGTGCTGGTACAAAGAGTGAGGCAAAACGAGCTTTATGTAAGAGACTGCAAAATTATCCCAGGTAAAAGCAACTCAACAGAAGTCTCTACTTCTTGACATCAATGTGCCGGCTGATAGTCGAAGGGAATTGGAGAATATATAACGTATTAGAAAGTGGAAATTCAAAGATAGCATTATGACCAAAGGTGCATAATAACAACTCTACCACGCTACGAGGGAAACCATAGCCTGAATCGGCCAAAAACAAGCTCCAACAGATAACGGGAGATATTCTAGGCTGCTCACAGCCAAGGAGAGATTGAGAAGGGAATCTGGTCGTGGAATGATGAAGCACGGGGATTACAGGAGAAGATGCGACCAGCAAAGACATGGAATGAAATCAAAAGACGCCAGCAAAAAAGCACTAAAGAAGATTGTTGAGAGAAACAAAATAGCCTATACAGGTGATTTACAGGAGGCTGAAATCTTGAACGGAGACTGAAAGTGAATTGAACGTGAGGAGAAGAGCAGATTCCACAAATGAAGCACTTCTATGAAATCAAAGGAAACGTGGAGGTTAAGGGGGG